TATACAGTGTTTAAATAAGGACATGATGGAACATCGTAGGCTACCCTGTAGCTTTTCAACGAATAAAGTCCTATAAAAGTCATTGTGTAATAAAATGCCTCCGACGGGATTCGAACCTGCGACCTCTCTCTGACAAGGCGAGCGTCATAACCACTACCACTTCATGGTTGAACAGGTCCAAATACCCGTCGGGAACATTGTATTACACAATGCTATGCCTCAAGAGATTCACAGATTAATCTCACTGATAAACAATTCTACTATATTTGGTTGGTGCATATAACTTCTATTTAGAGACATAATTTCATTATTTTCTTTCCAGAAATATTATTAAACGTTAACTAGCACCTCATAACGACTTTTGAATGATAAAAATCGGTTCGGTATAACACATTTTACCGAGTACGAAATTTAAGTTAGTGGAACATACTGCTGTTACATCTTCTAATTTTACCCCGCCGTTGTATTTAGGTATACGCTACAGGAGCCAACAACTGTGACAGCAGAGTACCGCATGAGTGATTCACCCCACATCTTTATATGTCTGAGTTAACGCATGAATGGTTTCATGGACCTTCTCAGGACTTTTTTCCTAACCCACATCTTTATGATCTACTTTTCCGCTGGAGAGAGATCTCTGAAGAGAGAAGCCCTGGCAGCTAGCAATCAATCAATCAATCATTTAACCAATCATCCATCAATTTATAAGGTGTATTTTACAATTTGACCTCTATAAGCGCCGATAACAAAGTAGACCAGAGGAAAACCAGCCAACAATTTAACAATTAACACATCCGATTTTTTTTGGCCAAATAATGATATGCTAACAAAATTCATCTTTTTTATTCAGCGATTTAGATGTTGTAAGCGATGCAGGTAGCAGTCATGATTCGTGGACCTGAAACCTAGACTTAAAACAAGTGTCAACTAAAATAAACTCATGTGGCAGTTGTTCATGATGAATAAGACATGACATAAGAAGTTCAATTACTATATTAATGTCTGTTGTAAGGTATAATTACAAAGAACACCTTGTTTTATAAGAGCCAGAATAGTCTGTAAAGACATCGAAGAAAGACGTTGATTATCACAAGATACCGCTACTGGTTAATTTGGTTGGAATTTTATACTTCTATGGTTAGATCTGTTCTTGTAGTTGACGACTTCCCCTATGTACTTCCTTATACTGTTTATATTTATATTTAAAAATAATTATATGTACACCAGTCAACCAATTATACAATCAATCAATATATCAATCAATCAATCAATATATCAAACAGTCAAGAAATATCACCGCACCCATGTAGGATTAACTAGAAAACACCTATCAGTGGACTATTTGAATTTGTATGACCAACATCAACTATGTGGCCTATCCTTTATAATAAATTTATATCTAACATAGTTATATTATATAAGCTAGTCAATCAATCAATCAGTAAATAAATCAGTTGTCAGTCAAGAAATATCACCGCACCATTATATAGCATAACTAGAAAATACCTATCAATGGACAATTTGTATTTGTAGTGACCAGTTTCCACTATGTACAGTACTTCCTTATGCTGTTTATCTTTAACATAAATATATTATATACATCAATCATTCAATAAATCAAACAGTTGTCAGTGAAGAAATATCACCACACCATATGGAATTCATTATAAAACACCTATCAGTGGACAATTTGACACAATTAATTATAAAGGAATAAAACAGCTCTTGTCCATAATAGATAACATGGTGTTTTAGATGTTAAAACGCTCCTAATAATTTTGGAAAATTCAGCAGTTGATGTAGTAACCGACTTCCAGTATGCTCACCCTATAAGGATTGATGCCTACTGATTATGTTTAAAATCAATCAAAACATAAAATGAATTAAATTTGAAAATTCATGGTGAGAAAGAAGATAGATTTTAGTGAATTTTCAGTAAATGCGGATGATACATGGTTATGCTCAATATGGTGCCATTTAGAGATGGTTTAAATTCGGTTGTATTATTTTCTTTGATATTCTTATTTCCTCAATGAGAAAACTATTAGTATTATCTATTAAGAAATGATTAAGAACATTATAAAATATATACGATAGAACAATTATAATGGATAGCGCCTTATATCCAAAGAAGTGTTATTGAACATATTGAATGTACACATTGGTAAAATCATTTGTTATAAGCGCATTTTCCAGTGGATACAAGTGCTATGAAAGTATATGAATTTATAGGCCTATTAATAATTGATTATATTACTTTGATTTGCATTCTTAATTTTAATTTGTTAAATATGTGTTCTTATTTTTAGAATAATGTTTCGAAATAATTTCAAATTCAGCTTTAATACAGTTATTCGATCTTTACAAAAAGCATAATGGAGATAAAAATACTTATGTGAATTGAAGTAATAAATTTTCTTTCTTGGTAGTCATTTAAGTTAAAAGAAATGATTATTATTTCAGGAGTTTACTTTCTATTTGAGGGATTCAGTCCGGGGGAGGGGTTGGGGGCGAAGATTTCCTCGTCGGGAAAAACGGTTTTCCCCCACGATAGCATATCTGGCTGGACTCAGAGCAGCCCAGAACCCTCAAAGATTGTCCACAGGGGTCCACAGACAAAGCCCCCGAAGAATTTGTCAAGTAGGGGGACTTTAGGCGGCTTATTTAATCGATTTTAGAGTCTTATACTTAGTAAACTTTATGTAGATTTTATATTCGCCCTGACAAATCGTTGTTTTCTCTCTCCGAGAAAAGGCCTCAGTATCTCACCCCACCTCCCCCCCCCCACCCCACAAATATTGCCGTGAGATCGCGGGCTTCCAGACTAATGCGTGTTGGTCCGATTCGGGTGAAGAATGTACTACGCTACGTACAGAATCTTTGTAACACTGATAGTATTTGCAAAAACAAAATTGCACCGACTACCAATGTTATCTACATATAAAACATCAATGCAACCGAGCATTTTTGTCGTGGGTGTGAGATCAGAAACAATTGTGCTCCCGATATTAATCATATAAACATTTACTTCAGCGATACATGATATTTGATTTATTGAAACAGATGAATTTTTAAAATCGTTATTGAAAATAATTATATTGTTATGTTGCTATTGAACTACAGCATCCATTCTTCTGAGCCTATTAACCAACTCAATATACAGAGTTGCCAGGTTATTAATTTGCTTCAATGCGTGGTAAGTCACTCAATGTTTTTGTATATTTTTCCCACGATATTATGTGTTTTAGGCGTACATTAATTTGTCCATGATGTCCATATCGATATAATATTTCGTTTTTTATTAGAACATTAAAATTCTTGAAAAATTAAACAACCAAATTCTATCGGCACTCCCGGTATTGGTTCCGTCCCAAAGAACCTTTCTTTTGGAGGGCAAAAACAAACGGTGTTTTTCGTGGGCCTTGGCTCTACTGCCACAAAGAATTGTTCTTTTTTGTCAGTAGAAACAGGCCCTTAGACACCCATAGATAGTTTTGGCAGAAAACTCAAAATTTTCCATTTAAATAAAGACTACTTTTTAAAATATAAATAGTGATTTTAGTGAAGATGTGTAGGCCTATACATGCTCAATATTGAATACCGATTGTATTAGGACATTATTCAAAACTTAATGTATTATATGGTTTTTGCAGGACCCAACTAAACTAGAAAAAATAAAGAATACATTAACATTTCATTTATTTTTTATTTGTTCAGTATAAAAACAACAAAAATGTTGATAAGCTACAAGTAAAAACAATTAAAAAAAAATTAAAATACGATTATAGATAATAACAAATCAATAAAAAGTCATATAATTTAATTATGATATGAATACACATCAAAATAAAACACTGCATAAGATGATGTTTTGTGTATACAGTGCTTTATTGAATAGGTCTATATTGATAGTTTTAGTAGGACGATACACGGTAAACCAATTCAGACACATTATTTTCAATATTTCATATTATTTCAATTAATAATGTCTCAGGTAAAGAAGGATAATACAATTATAATTAATTTTGTTTGTGACTTTATTAATGAAATTTAAATTTAAAAAGTCCTCCTTGGAAAAATAACTTTTAATTTGTAATTTAATTAGACCTGAAGTCTAATCATATATTTTACTGGCAAAACTACATGTGATGCCGAACATAAGATTATTCATGATTTTCATTGGATATTGTTTAAATTTGGATACGCGCATATTATGTTCAACTTCATCATCGACAATTCAATTGTTTTATTATCGACAATTCACTCGTTCAATCAACATTCACTTATTTCATCATCGACGATTCACTTGTTTTATCATGGACGATTCAATTGTTTTATCATCACCGATTCACTAGCTTCATCATCGACGATTTACACAGAATTAGTTGGATGGCACTCTTACCTCGTTTCCCAATTCTTTATTGAATGAACATTGTTCTTCGTAATTTGTATTTTGACTTTGAAATGGATATTTGTTTGATGGGATACTACGGTAACTTTGTTGTGTTTGTTCTGATTTGCTGCAATTTACATACAAAATTGGATGTAATACCTAACATTAGATTTTCATTGGCTATTGTTTATTTAAATCTGAATATGCGCATAATATGAACATTGTGTTCATTTTGATTGGGTTATATAAAACAATCATTATAAAAATACTTAAGTATATTTTCCTATTGTGTAAGTATTATATTTACACAAATAAAAAAAATAATAGAATTAATTTATATAGCAAAAGCCTAAGATTATCTCAACTATGTTGCTCTGTGCTCTTGAATCAAGATACTATTTCTAATATTTACAATGCTCCTTGATCTTAACGAAAACTGGTATGTCGCCCTCTCTTGTTAGACTGAAATTACTTTGGATCCATCATGGGTTCAATTCCAACACAAAAGCAGCATGCACTCGCTCGCCACACAGGCAACCACATGCAACATGGCAAGTAGAAAAGTGCGAATATTTATCGGCCAAGTAATTGGAACAAAAATGAAGAAAACCGCAAAAGTTGCAGTTCAACGATTAGTTCTTGATAACTATATATTACAGGTATGTGAAATTTGTATAATTTATGCCAGGCTTTCACGGTATCATATGAATGTTCTTGTTAGGGCAGGTCTAGCTAGGCTAGGCCTAGTCGTACTATCTCTAGCCTAGCCTGAATGACAGATCTGGGATGACCACCAGGCGACGAGCACCATGGGCCTGATCGGATAATTATTTGCCTAACCAAGGCCTAGTATAGGCATACCTTACTAACTAGACCAACCTATGCTACGCAAAGTTGTTAAGGCGTAGTCATAGAAGCACTACTTACTAAGCATTCCATTGGTTAATATATTATATTTTTGATAATGATAGTACACTGTACAGTAGTATATTTATTATTAATTAGGCCTAATAGATACTAATAATAATAATACATTAAGTTTATTTTTTTCGTATAATAATAATAAGATAGGCCTATCTAGGTAATGGTAAAAAACAGTAGAGCTGAAAATATGGTTTACAAACTTTCTTAGCTCGGCTAAATCAATACTAGTTATTAAAAAGAAAAGGAGTGTAGGCTAGGCTACTACTGTACTAATACTACAGGTACTACTACCGAAACATACCAGTATACTACTAGCCTAGCTAGGCCTATTATTACAATCCATCAAGTTTTATTATATTTTTTTTTTAAATATTTATTTTCAGTACTTTCCAGAAAAAATGACAGCTTTTGCTCATGACCCACATGAAGAGGCTAATGAAGGTGATATCGTGCTTATCGAAGAACTGCCTGTCAAGCGATCCAAATTTGTAAAATACCGTCTGGATAAAGTTATACATAGACTCGGTAATGTGGTCGATCCATTTAGTGGAAGAAAATGTGATTCATATTCATACTGGAACGATAAACCAGGTCATGAAAATTCATTACATGATGCTGTAGAATATGAACCAGGTCATCAAAATTCATCACATCATGCTGTAGAATCCAAGCAAGAGGTATCCGATGGAACACCTGTCTGAATTGTCTTACTGTACTCAAAAATGTATTTTAAAGTTCTATTAATCAATAGAGACTGTAGATATTGTTCTGACAACCTTGCACAAATCTGAGGTGCTGATTGAAGGAGCTGGCTTGACCCTAATCTTACATTTCAGTCTTGCTATCTTAATCCACTATTATGGCATGTTGGAGGAATATCCATAATGTTCAAATATATTCCACTGCTAAAATACACTAATGAATACAACTTGATGATATTGATATTTATAGCATTGGAAAGAAATACTGTAATAATTCGGACACTGCTTTAGATTACTGACTAAACAAGACAGTAATGTATTAAGATGTCATGCTTGCTTTGCACCTGTTACAGAATGTGTTTTCTACTCTGTAAAAGACATTTACTGTGTACCAGTTGGCTAAATTAATAGGGAAATGGGTCAGAAAATCCTGCCCAAATTACAGAAGTCTCCAGTTCTTTTTTTGCCTAAATATCTGGTAATATGCATGGTTATACTATACAGTATTTTAATTGAAGAATTAAACAATTTAGGATTGATGGAATGTAAGAAAATTATGGAAATACTGTGGGTCTCCCAAATAAAGACCATTTTTGTGACTGGGATCTCCATGGTCTTCATCAGTTTTGGTCTCTAATTAGAATAATAAAGATAAAAGACATGTTTATACAGTACAGTAATATGGGACCACAGAAAAGTGCTTTTTTTTTATTGGAGGTGGTTTGGAGGGGTCTTTTATTAGAGGGAGGCCTGTAGTACTGTGGGAAAATGCACAAAAAAAGTAGTTTATATGTTGAGTTTGGAAGAATAACGTAAATCCTCGAATAAGTGCTAATTATTTTTTGCTAAGCGCCGCTCTCGAACACCTTTATTTACGATATTTAGAGACTATGATGGCCTACCGAACTACTGGAATACAGTAGGCGAGATAGGTAACATGGAAAAGGCACGCCAATGTTTTTAATAAGCGCCGCTCTCGAATTAGCGCTTGGGTAAGGATTTACGGTAAGCCACAGATGCTTTCACAAGACATCCCGACCACTATTACATAGCTAACCAGGGATTTTTTTTTGGGTGATGGTGGGTGTAGCTTGCTACAGTACCCTATTCACTCCCCCAGATCCACCACAGGATTGAAGTCTTGTGAGAGCAATATTTACTATAGAGCAGGAAAAAAACTGGAGAAGCATTCTACGATGCATTCTTCCGGATCCTGGCTTTAACAGTATGGGAAGAACCTTCTTTCCCTTGGTAGGAATCAAGATTCTACATTACTAAACAACATTGAACAAAGAAATACATTCATGTTAAAGAAAACAATGTTATTTTATTACAAGAAGTATTTGATTTTTACAATATAAACACTTTATAATACAATAATGAGCTAAATAATAAAAGATTGTCAAAACCTGATTGTACATTTTATCTTGACTCTATTTTCTTGGGAGCCAATGTTTTGTGATCATTTCATTTCCATGGTTCTGCCAATACAGTAAAACATTTAATTTCAAATATCAAAATGTACATTATTACTATATATATATAACACATACATCTAAAATATTCCGTCTATGAAAATAATGGACATATTTATAAAGGTACTGTATATAAATTGGTATACAAACGAAATGACTTGTTATAACAAAAGGGTCTCCTGTACAAAAAGAGGCAGATCCCTCTTGATGTTGGTCAAAAATGCAATATGCCTTTATTGTATATGAAAATACATTCTGAAGATGTAGTTATGTTCCTATTCCCCTTTTGATACTTCAAAACTACCCTCTAATGTACTTGACAATACAATATGTAATCAAATTTGAATCAACATTATTTTATACTGTAATACAACTTCATTTTGGTAATTTACTAATTTGAATGAAAGACCACTAATTATTAACAATCCAAAGAGTTTGCCACATTGTAAATTGTTAAAACAGCAATGAGAACCTGATAATCCTATTTCCACTAGGTACAATATGTGCTGTTTAATCATTTCTTGTCATATAAAATTTGTAACTTGCATTTTCATAATTTAAAAAAGTTGACTGATTCACAATACTTTACTGTAGGTCAAGAGGTCATCAATAGCAGCAGCCATTTTGTCTTCATCTTCACTACGATCCTCGTCGCTTAAGCCAGGGCTTGAGCTGCTATCCTCTTTCTCCACCTTCTTAAAACGCTCTTCCTCATCAGATTCGATTTGAGGCCGTTTCCTTTTCCATCCATGAGGCTCCTCTGGATCCAGACTGTCTTCACTTGACGATGAGGGCGCTACAGTTACACTTCCAAGTGAATTGTCGCCACTGCAGTTGTCTGATTGACTTTCATCGCTGCTCTCGTTAAATATATCATCCACTTCCATGTCCATACACTTTAAATCTTCAGTAGAGAAGCTATATAATGGATTGTAGTCACTGTTTAGTCTAGTAAGCCTCCCTGCTGGAGGCTTGTTGGGCACATCTGACAACCTCTCTGCTTCTGCTTTCTTGGCAAGTTCTTGATCCTGGTCAGAATCCGTGAAAGCTGATGCTGGTGTGCTGCTTCGACTTCTATTGGATGATCTTCCCGATTTCCTCGTCGAGTGCAGAAGAAACAGACGCTCGTCAACATGCTCCCATCTCTCTTGACAGCACCACAACCAATCAACCGATACAATCTTTACGTTCTTCATACGACGAGCTTGACGTACCTTCTCTGTACCAGATTTTGCAGCAACTAAATGTGTCGTTGCATTTGCTGGTCCAGATTTATCTTTAAAACGACTAATCAGCGATACTGAAATATTTGCACCAAACTCCTTAGCTACTCTCCAAGCACGACTTTTCTCTGGGGGCATATCAATTGGAAACACCCCACTAAACACTATATTAACACCAGCTAGTATTGACTTACGAATTGATGGTACAATTGCTTTCAAATCTGGTACAGGACACGTTTTTTCTTTCAAGGATTTGCTTTTGTAGTGATCATAAACCTCATAGAACTTTTGATGAACTTGTATCAAATTTTCTTTGAGGTATAGCAAATAATCATCTCCATCATAATTACCTCCTTCCTCATTGTCAACTTTTGCATCTTTTTCTTCAACTTTTTTAACTACCAAATCTTCACCATGTACCTTTTCTTTAGCATCCTCATCTCCCTTATCAGGACTTGTTTTCTCATCTACTGGTTTCTTGGACTTATTCTCCATGTCTTCTGCTTTATCTTTGCTTTCACTAGTACAATTACTTTTTTCTAATTTCTTAACCTGATCCAAATTTCCATTTTCAAGTTCAGTCTCTGTACTCTCCAGCAGTGATTCAGAAGTCTTGCTTCCATTAGTATTTGATGTCTGACCAGTAGTGTCAATTGATTCCTCAGGGGATCCTTTTCCTGTTTCTTTATTTACAGTAGATGAGCTGGCAATCTGTTTGAAAGAGTCGTCAACCTTTGCTTCCTTTTGGTAGAGTGGGGGTGTGTTTATGTCCCCCGTTCCACTGAAGTAGCAGTATGGTTTAACGTGTATCAGATTCGGGGCATTGCTCCAAACATCTTCTCGATCATCAATGATGCATACCATTGAATCACCACAGGGAAAAATTGATCTGGAAGAAAAACAAATCAACAAATTTATCTTACAAACAGTGTGTCGATGGAATGAAAATAATTATACTGTTTAAAATAAAAGCCTTAATTAATTTTGTTAATGGAAAATAACTGTGAATACAAGAAAAATAATGCAAATATTTAAAATGATCTTTTGAAAAATTTAATCAACTGGTAATAATGATTGATTTTAATAAAATATGGTAAACAAAAATGTTAACCAAGCACATTTACATTCTATTTTAAAGCTCCTTACAGTAGTACAAAAAAACTCCCCAAATATCTTTGCTGTAGTAATATACATAGGAATAACAATGATAAAAGAATACTATCAATAGTAATAATAACAATAAAGGAAATAATAATTTTCTATGTGGTGCACAAGATTCATAATGTGTCACTGATGGAAAAAAAAACAAACTGTACCCTAAGTTGGCTGTTTTCAGATTGCGATCAAAGCATTCGTCTCTTGATAGTATACGATGCGAGAAATACTTTTGATGTGGGTCCAGGAATGAAGCAATTGTATGAGCATACAACCTCGCTCCCATCGTGAATATATGTAGCTCATAATATTTAGAAATCTCCTCAAGAAACTTTTGACAGCCAGGCCGAATGCGAGTATGGTACCAAGGCGACTGCGGCCCGGAGTTCCAGAGTTGAAAATGATGTACATTCTGAAAAACAGTTTACAATATTTATAACTTCATCATACTACATAATTCCCATTAAGTGTATTACTGTATGTTTATTTAACTTTATATATAAATCTTCCCATCCAACATCAAGTAAAAAACTTGCCGTTTACAGGAGGGAACACTGATAATCAACAAATGTAGAGAAATGCAGAATAAAAAAAATAATGATGATAATAAAAAGAAATCAAAACAAACAACAAATAAATATTAAAAAAACAAAACAAATAATGGATAAACAAAACAAATAAATAAATATATAAAATATTTTCTTATATTTTTATGAAACATAGAGAAATTATTAAAAATATCAATATCCCAATTTAAGAAATACGAAAAGTAGGATTGTTTTCAAGTTAACTACTGGGATCTGGTGATAAAAATGACTCAACAAATAATACTGTAGTTAGTAGCAATTTTCTCACCTTCAGCGTTGCAGGGACTGCGTCCATTGTAGTGTGTATCAAGGTCTGATCCAAGTCCACAACTAGAACCAGTTTATGATGTTTAAGCAGGCGTTCTTCATCAGCCTTCGCCAGACTTACTGCCTCCTACAAATTCAATAATATCCTGAAAGTGTAAATACCTACCCTTCTACCAGATAATCAGAGACAAAACAAACAATAATTCTGAAATTCTGAATTTTGCATTTTCACTGACCTCTAGATAAAGCTTTGGTAATTACTTAGGGCCTAGGCCTTTTTGAGAAGTTTGTAATCACTTGAAACGAAATCCTATTATTGTACAGTATCGCGAAAACGTACTACCACGATCTAGAGTGCGTCCTTCAAAAGATAATAAAAGGTGTTTGGCTGCGTATCTATGACCATGTTTCAAATGCAATTTTGTTCGAGTTCATAACTCTATTCGATTTGTAATAGGGCACCACCTACCTCATGGTGGTAGTACCCATCATGCACTTCCGGATTTACTCACTCTTTATAAGGTTAACTGCCAGACAACAACATAGTGTCTATGCCCCTGAGGAGGCATTTGACGTAAAACAAGGTTTGGGATCAAATGCAGTTTTTCTGAAGCTTATTTACCTCTTTGCTGACTTGAAGCTCTGGAATGCTATGCACCATGGCAACAGATGCAGAGCTGCACTGACTTCTTTCACCAGGTTGTCCCTGAGCTCTGTATAAAAAAAAAAATCCCAAACAAAACAATAAAATCGCTTTATGTTACAAATATATGTGATATGCCCATATTTGGGTGTAATATGACGTTACATCACATAAAATTGTAGACTGAGCTTATAAATGTTGTTGTTGTTGTTGCAGTACCAGACATTATTTAATCAAACTCAATGAAAAAAATGCAAACTGCAAATTAAAAGTTAGTTTTTGTGACGTTCTGCCATTAAAATCTGGACAAACGTTGCAAATAAAAAAATAAATAAGATTGCTTACTTTCTAAGATCAGCACCACACTCAGCACACATATCTTTCATCACTGTTGGATGCAGACATCCTTGAACAGCAAACAATGGTGTGCTACATTATTATAAAAAGAAAAAAAATATTATAATATTTTGGGAAAACAGAGATGGACTTTCTCAGAACAATTATGTAATTATTATTATTTATTTACATATTAAGCTTCATCAAATCACTGCTCACACGGAGAGTAAAAGTAACAGAGTAACAAGACAGAAAAAGCAGCGAAAAAGAAGGTATGAACAGGCGTCAAGCACATCTATCAGTTCAGTAAATCTCCGCTTGCACACAACAAACAACATGGAGATGTGGAAATTGCACGTTATAAGATATAAAATACTACATAAAAAGTAGCTTATAAATAAAAGAGAAATAAATTGAACATTATAATATATATTTTTTATATTATTACAAGATAGAAAATTATTGAATTATTATTTATTTAATTAAACGAATACATATAAGTTACTAAATTAATAATTATTTGTTTAAAATACAAACAATACATGACATCAAAATTGCACAAAATTAACAAAATCAAACAAAAAATGCACATAGTTTAATATAACACTAAAAATACAAGAAACTGCATGAATACCATTAGAAATAAAAAATAAAAAAAAAACACAATTGAAAATACCAAAATAGGAAATAAATAAGAACAGAACTTAACATTATCAAGTTAGATAATTATACATATACCCTGTATATTATAAAAAAGGTAATATTAAATTAATTATTTGTATGCCCTACTGTACAATATATAAATACGACATCAAAATATATAAATACGCAATAAATTAAAACACTGAACATACATACTGTAACTAACTAGGCCTATGTAGTATACTCATTTTGAACAGCAGACTACAATCTTATTTATGTAAATTGGTTGATTTAATTTCTGGCTGGGAATGAATTTTATACAATACCAAAAACAAATACTGTAGGCCTAATAATATTAATACTAAATAAGCCTAGAGTATTATAAATAAATTAATCACAAAACGTGTTCAACATCAAGTTTCAGTTTATATTTTGCCTGATATTTTCTGTGTTTAGGGCCTATCTATAGATAGCTATTCTCTCTGAAGGCTTCTTTCTACCTACTACAGAGTAGAGGCTAGCCTAGGAGGAGCTAGAGTAGGCTACCTAGGCCTAAGTTAAGAGCCTAGGCTAGGCTGATCCTGCATATATTTTCTACTTTTTTTGCAAACAAGTTGGTTTGGTTAGTCCTCGGGCAAGGTAAAATCTATATTTATAGTTCTCATTTTGAACTTCGTAGGTATTCTCAATACAATACTTGTATAGTAAACTCTGGGCCTACACCCTCGTGGGTAAACGAGTAGATTTAGGCCTAGTGTTTGTTTTGTTGTTGCAAGTATTTAAATGGATTGACACTGATCGGTAGCTGAAGCTCGCGGCTGACTGACCTGGGCTCGATGGTGTCGCCCTCCAAAACAAGTAGCTCTTTGACGGTTCCAACCATTTCAGATCGTATTTTTTCTGTTGTTTTAGAATATCCATCGTCTGAATTAGCATCGATCACTTTATAGAATCCAAGAGTAGACCCTTTTGATACTCTGGCTCCTATTTTAACTTTCAACTTGACAATTTTGCTCTGTTGACTGCCGCAAAACCGAATGATGTTTTCAGAAGCCGCCATTTTGAGAAAATTAATTCAAAAAATATTATATATTTTTCCAATTTTTAGATAACATAATATAATAATTCAAATAATTAAAATACTTTTAAATATTATATTTTGATGTACAGTATATTTAATTGTTGTATAGAGTTTATTATTAGATAAAATATAATTTAATAAATTTGTGTAACACTGACATGCAATTTCTATTTTCACAGCAGAGGATGATCGTTGTTTGTCTGCTGTTTTAATTACAACTGCAAGAAAGGCAGCGCGAAGTTTGAAAACATCGTCATAGGCCTATACACAAGTTTGAGATTCACTCGTTTATTATATATAATTTTTTCAAAAAAGGTTATAAAATTATGTAAACTTAAAGGGTAATGAATAAAAGCATTTAATAATTTTTAATGGTTATCAAGTATAGTAGTAGGTAGGTAGGAAGGACCTGCTAGGCTGTAAAAAAGGTTTATTTATATACTAGGGGCCTAGCCTAGGCCTAGTACAGTAATAGTATATTCCTACTAGCTACTACTAGGCCCTAGGCCCGCCGTCTAGCCTAGTGGTAGGCAAGGCTGGGCTAGGAGGCGAAAGAGTATTTGTGTGCGAGCCAAATATTTACTCGTTTGTAGGAAGGAAGTTTATCTAGATAGGCAAGGCCCGAATGCCTATGCCTTTTCTATTGTTTTTTTAATTTAGGCTACCTATCGTAACTTCATTATTAGCCGTAGGGGGCCTAGCTAGGCCTTGTAGGCCTAGGCCTAGCCCTATATTGTAAAGGAAAAACAAAGTTTGATATGTTGTACAGTAGTAGAACTGAATTTTTAAAGTAAAACAGAAAAAAGTTAGAAAAAGAGAATGGTGAATGAGATACAGATTTTTGAACATTTACAGACTAGGCCTACCTAGTGGTGGGAAAAAGGGGAATAACCGCCCTTTTCCCCCAGGTTTTAAATATTTAAAGATCTGTATCTCATTCACCATCATTTCCCAGTTTTTGGTCAAAAAGACCAATATTATGCCTTCGAAAAATCGGTTCTACAACATAATAAAACATGTTTTGTCTGACATTAAAAAAAAATGAAATGGATTGAACTAATACACTTTTTATGTTTTTTTTGTGTACACCTAAATTATTATGAATTAAAATTTTACAGATGTCTGTCGTGAACACCCCGGAAGCACAGGTTGTACGCTTCATTGACTCGAATAATTTATCCAAAATAAATTCAGCTAGCCATCATTACAAGTCACCATGGCCAATGCGAAGACATACACCTTACACGAAGACACCCCAGTCAAGGAGGATTATAGGTAAATAAGCAGGCTTGTCTGTAGTAACCAGGATTTCTTCGGGTTCACCTATGGTCACTAACTATTGCTACACCAGTCTTATACAAATTCCTATTACAGATTGGACGTTATTGTTTGGGGAGGAAAAGTGGGGTTGGTGCAAAGAGCAGGATTCAAACAGGTTTTGGGAAGTTGTGCAAATTGATTTGGGTGTTTTCTAGGACTTTGAAAAGGTGCGTTTACCCTAAACACTCCCTGTCAGAATATCAAAAATGCTTTGGAAACTTTTACTACTCCCTTGTCTGTTTCTTGGTCAAAATACGATCTTTTTTTGTTATGGCGTATTTGCACTTTCAGGCAAGTCGGGCCATTTACCAAGGACACCACCTGATGAAGCACTAGTGAATGACTGGAAACTACTCGTCAATAAAACCTGGCACACCTATTGCTTAACACCATTGTACAACTTTAGCTATAATCCTAGCCAACTGAAGAAATACTCACGGCACTTGTCGGCCCAGCTGAAGGCGGTAAATATCATTACCTTATTTATTTAAATTAACACCCTGGGTCATTTCTTGAGGATTTTTAGGGGGAAATTTCTTCAAGGGAGGCATATATTTTTTTAGTGTAAAAACGATACGTATACTCATACAAACGCGCCCTTAATTTTATTTTTCATAAAACACATTATTACTGTGCGATATTGTGAGATCATAAAGACTAATTGATCCCAACCACAGGTGTAGAAAAAATGTAATTTTACTGACTGCAACATTAATAGAATGTGTTGAGAATAATGATTTTATTGATTTCGTTTGCAGTCTTTTTGGGGGACATTTATTTGAGGAAAAAATAAATTATTCAAAATGAGGTTCTGGAGAGGGTGTTTATTTGTGGGAGGTGTTAATTAAAAGTGGGGCATTATTTAAATAAATATGGTATTTCATTTCAGTCCTACACATAGCAGGATATAAATCAGAACAATACAGTTTAAATAGTGAACAGCAGGCAAACATACCCAAAAAATATTTTCCCAAATTTAGAAAGTTATAATGCTTACTATTTTAAAATTAATAGGAAAGCTCAGTTTGATCAGTGAAACGATTTTATAATTAAACTAAAAAGGCATTTAATTTTGATATCTGTTTATTTTTCATGACACACTCAAAATAAAAATACTATTCTGTAATAATAATATTTATCACCACCCTATTAAGTTTTTATGAGGTTTTTATTATGAAACATTTTGCCAAGTTGTAGGAAATGAATATAGGACTTTGATGCAGCCCCAAAATAGTAGACAAGTGAGTGTAATATAAATTAATACCATTCATAATGAATTTAATGTTACAAAAAGTTACATAGTGGCAGGCACTCTCACTCCATCACTACTCGTACAAACAAATACTGAAGCAGCCTCTATCCAGCAGCCATTCTGGCACTAAAACTCTAGTTTAACAGTATCGTACAGGGGTGATATGACAGGGTCCATAGACATTTTTTTTGTTTTTTTGTTTAATGTGTTTTTTTTTTTGTTGTAGTGTCTCAAAGCAAAAATTAATTTATAAATATTTTATAGGAAGCAAACAAAGGAACTGGGGTTGGCACAGATGAGGCCTTGTTGGATCGTGCTGTATTTCGTGTCTTCAAAGGCTTAGCTGTGGGGGCTGGTGAGTATTATTATTATTTCAACTTAACATGGAGAGGGGAACCCTATCAACTGGGCCTTGAAGGCCAGCTGGTATTCAGGGGCCCTCTATGAAAGATGTAGTAAATTAGTGACATGATGATGATGAAATTAAATGTAGGCCTATGTATTTAATTAAGTTAAATGACCAAACAAATAAATGTTTAAAATATATTAATCTAAACCTATATTACAACATTATCAAAAATATATAATTTAAATTGTGGCTGAGTATAGTTACGCTATTGTAAAGCTCTGTCTTTCATATGCCCATATATAGTCATGACATGCCTATATATGTTCATGATGTGATGTCACGATGACCATATTTAGGTATGTCACATGTTTTTGACAATTTGATAGTCTAGACAGGGCTTTACAACTTGTGACATCATGCAGTTTAAAAGAACAATTTTTTTTATGTGATTTTCCCACGAGCATGATGGCATATCACACCAAGATATGAACTATCCTATGTGATGAATAATTTTATAATTTTCTCCCCTTAATTGAATTTTAGATGACTCGGAAGCTGTAGAGGTCACAGTGACCTCAAAGAGGTCAGGTTCCACTCAGACCCAGTTCAATGCTGTCCTCATTAGCGTAGAGGCTGATTTTGATGAGGCTGAGCAGATGAAAGTAGCTAATGATTTTACAAGACTGCCTCTGTTGTTGGTTAAGGGTCCTGCAGCCACTACAAGTGCAGTGCTTAATTTTCTTCAGGTAACAAACTTACTATAACCTGGTATAAATTTAATAAGCCTCAACAAGAACCACTGTTTGTACCAAACACTGGCTTGGCGAACATTACATTTTTGTGATGCAAAGCAATATATATATATTTAACAAACTTTATTAAAAAATTACATTACTCTAGTCCTGCAATTTCTGTTGCAGTAAAGCGATAAGATGATGTTTTTATAACTGGGACTACTGACAGTAGCCCTGATGACGACGGTTTGTTGGCAGCACTCAACACATTACAGCAAACTGGAGATAAAAGGTTCTTTATTTGAAATTGCTTGGAACAAATTGAAATTTACATTTTCAAAATAAAGTACATGTACATCATTAAAATATTACAAGGGTCTCAAGTGTCCCGCATGTTGCTGGAGCCTCCCGCGATCGTGCACGAATCTCCGAGAAAATTACTTTTTTCTGCAAATTTACAATAGTTGCACATTTTTACTACTTTATCAGTTGTCTCATGGAAATTGTTGGCGACGGGTATCACTGTGTAACAATTCATAAAAGATTGAACATTAAACGACCCCTGATATTTTTAATTATAATTCATAGAGATTGAACATTAAAAAAAAAACAATCATTGAACAACGTACAGAATATATAGAAAAGATGTATAAATATTTACATGTAATGTTGGTATTTATATATAGCACTCTGCACAACTAAGTTTCAGAGCGCTTCACATTATTATATCAGCCACTGGTACACATAGTCAGCTCACTAGGGGAGCGAGTATTCCGTAATTTGCTGCGTGAAATAAATCAGCGTATTGGCACCTCCTTAGTACTCTTCATATATGTCTGGGTGGAAAGGGACAATGTTGATAAAGTGCTTCGCCCACCAAGGACACAAGTGACGCAGCAAGGGTTGCAAACTCCCAACCTGAAAGTCGATATCGCAACTGTTGCACACAATTTTTGCTTTTCCTTCTTTTTTTGTTGGTACTGTACAGTAGCAGTATTTTTACAATTGTGTATTATTATTATTATTATTATTATTATATTGTAATTATTGTTATTATTTATCTATTTTTAAAGTTATTTTTATGGTTTAATTGTTTTCCAGACTGAATTTGACTGTATAATTAAACCCCTGATGTTCTGCCCAATACTAAAAACACCTCCTCTCTTGTCAGAAAAAAACTCTGTCCTTTAATTCTGTAAGTGGCGAGGCTGCTTCTGAATGAGTATAAAATAAAAATGTCTAATATATTATACTCTTAATTTTTTGACAGAGGATAGTAAGAAGCCAATTGAACTGCTGTATAGTGTTCCTGAAGAGGTCAAAGGTCTTCAAAGTATAACAATGACTATTGAGGCTAAAGATGCTAAAATATTGTGGGATAGGTATTACTACGATTTTCTTAATTTACAGACAAATAATTGTAATGTAATCATCTACAGTGTAATATAATATGGAGCAAATAGTACAGGTACATGTGTAATTCAGTTTTGGAATACACAATAATTACGCACATGCCAGTATCCAGGATTCACATATAAAAAGCAAGGGTCCAGGCAGTTTCAGGGGAACCTGGGACCCTTGTTGCACTTAAAGCATTCTAGCATGTGGTAAATAGGATAGTTTGCCGTCTATTTGATTGTGCAATATAGAAGGTGGAGAGCGGGGTTTGACCAAACCATGTCAAAGCCCTGATCTAAACTCAAGTTTTTAATATTATTATTATTGTCTGTACTGTTATTTTCATTATAATACAGATAGTAATATAATAATGGTTTACTAATGCATTGTTATTGAATTCAATAACTATTATTATTATTATTGGTAGTGTTTGCAGTTACTACTCTGTCACTGTACAGATCATTTTTCTGTCAACAGAATTCATGAAGAAGGGTCATCCGAGGTCACTGGTGAAGAGGTCGCAGCATACATCAAAAGTCTTGAGTGCCATTTCTTTCGTCATTTTAGAGTTTATCTTGCAGTAAGTATGCCAACTAGTTGGCAAGTTTGTCTAATATATTATTATTGACTTATACTGTAAAATCTCAAATACAAGCCCATGGGCTTCTAATCAATATAATATGGGTTTTACGGTATAACGCTCAATACCACCAAGGCTAAGCGCTTCACATTATTACCCCTGGTCACTGAATCAAGCGCATTTACTCGGGTCTCTGGGGAGAATTTCATAATTGTGCATTTTGTGTTTGAACCTACACCTGTAGGTACTCACTTGTACTTCTTGGTGGAAAACTGTAGGTAAAGTGCCTTGCTCAGCATAGCAGAACTGCAACCATTAGGCTGAACTGCTATGATTGTTATCCATTTATCAAACCAAAAGAATGTACACATTACACCAACATTGTAGGATATTGTACACTGTTGACTATGAGGAAATTGAATGCATCTAGGTTAATAACCTACGCTAGGAACTCAATTAATTTAACTAAAAAGAAAAGTGTAATATTGAAGAATTGCACAAAGTCATGTGTAAAATTACATGCTACTACACATAGAATAAGCAAGCAAGCACAGATGAAATATGAAATAATTTGATAGTTTATTAAGTTCCTTTTTTTGTTTAGGCCATGAAAATAACCAGGATTGGAACGACTGTTGCATTTGTTGGGCACAAGGGCAAATTAAAGGTAAGCTACTTGATAGAATTTTCAAGCCTACCAGAGATTTTTATTCCAGACCCTGACCGAGGACCTAGTCAGTCCCCTTGGTTTGGAACCACCACTGGATATACAGTACTGCCAATGTTGAGCTATATTAACCTAGATTGATTGAAGTGATGATCTTTTATTTCTTTCAGATACTCTCCGAGAACCAGGTTATCCATATTCTAGCCTACCTGACTGAGCTGGCACTTGCAAACACTGCTGTTTAAAAGGTCTGCTGAACAGAAGTTTTTTCTCAGAAGCAATAGCAGTCACATTACAATGTCCAATATAAAAATGTTCAAGAACTTTGATACTTACCTACATACGGTAAAATCTCAAATAGAAGCCCAATGGGCTCATCTCAAACAGTACACCATGGGCTTCTTTTCGGGGTAGTACTTACAATGTACATGAATTTCAAAGAAACAAATGCCTATATTAAAAACATGCTCAGTTTACACAGTAGTTTAGGTGATTTAATGCCGGTTAATACACTCCATGATACATACTGATGTTACAGTGGCCCTATTTATTGTTTTATATTACCGGAACCTAGTGCCCAAAATTTACAGCATTCATTTTCAAAAGAAGCCCCCGCTCTTATAAAGTAGCCTATCCAAAGTTCATAGAAAAAGAAACCAAGGGCTTGCTTAAAATAAAAATACTATTTATTTTTCGATTCCTTAAAATCTAGTTTTTCTAATACCAAAAAATTGTCAATGGATTTTAATAGGGAGCTTTGCACGACCGTCATACTTTCTCACCTCAACGTAGATTTGGCAAAATTGCGTCCTTAACTTCCACGTCCTACCGCATCGTGCAAGCAAAAGCGCCGTAAAGACTGACCTTGCCTTTGTTTATCATTCAGTTATTATATTTATGTACTGTATATTATATTTTGTAATGTTGATGCGGATATTAACCTCTGTATAACACTGAAATTAGTTAAATCATAGGTTTTGAGTAATAGCACATCATGCCTGAATAGCAATTATATTTTAAGAATGCACACACTTTCTCATGTAAAAAAAGTATTAGAAGTTTGTGATAATACAATAAAATGGTTTTATATTGTTTAGTGAAATATTTGGTTTTTAAATTCATGCACTAGTCTCACAAACAAATTATTCATATACAAAACAATGATCGTAAGAATTTGTTTCTAGCCATTTCATTATGAAAATCAGTTTACCAGACAATTTCGGATTTTATGAAAGAATGCAGTATAGAAAATACAGAATTATTCATGCATTTGATTAAGTTACCTTTTAACTTCTTATCACGATATCACTCTCGTCTTAAAATTTTAATGCAAATAATATATGGCTCTTCCGATGATGCTTTTCCCAACACTGCCTTAAAATTCAACTAATTGCTTTATAAATCAATCACCATTTTATATATTCCGAAGTTAAAATTTACATTCAATGCACTACCAGGTGTGGCTGTATTGCTCGTTGCCTTTGGCCAAGCATAGTAATGTTGAGAGTAAATCCGGGCCATCACTGCGTCGTACAACAAATCTAACTGCGATCCCTGTGAGCACTAGACGTTGCGGTGGAAGTCTGAACAGATTTTTATTAAAATTCAATCCGCATCGGCCGACTGTTGAAGGAGATAAAACTTGGTATACTGCTGCTGATAGTGGCCTAACTAAAAAAGCCTGGGCCCTGCTACCCTGGGGGCTATAGAACCCTCTGTCCGCTTCAACGTCTTTTGATGCTTTTTTTTGTTCAGCTCCATGAATGGACAACTTGGGGCAAAATGAAAAATGCTGAAGAATATCCCGCGTTCTTGGCTCTAGTCGGTGAAAGCTCATAGCTGTTAAGCCGGGCCCTCACCGCACCCGACAAGTAATGGATTGGTCGTACAAGGGTATGTATTACGTCACTGATCAAGAGGCAGGTAAATGGATCGTTTTTAATGACAATCCCCACAATCAGCAGACGGTATCGTGTTGTCTCAAAAATAGATAATTCGTAAGCTGATGGTCGTTCCACTGTCTTTATGAATGCTATTTTTTATGCAGTCAAAAGCTAGGGAAATGAATGCAAGGGCGCTGTCAGCTCAGCATCTATTGAGAGATAAATGGGTGCTCGGAGATGATGTCAAACAATTTTTGTGTTCATAGGTCAATCTTTAAAATGATTCTTGGTCTGCATTAAAATATTATTTATCCTTCTATGACTTCCTCGTTGTCACTAATTTCTCCCTCCTCCAGTTCATTTGACCTGTGTTGGTTAGTATGTGCCACCCGAACGTCTTCTACCAATTCATTATATTGCTGAAAAAAAAATACATAATTTTAATGAAAATTGATAGTTTATAGGCTACATAACTTGCATACAGTACAAGAAAATATTTTAATTCAAACATAAGTAGACAGCGATGTGTCATAATTGGTAATCCGAAGCATTTGCGGATCACCTCTTGTTATTGTCAGGTCTTTTTTTTTTTATTCTACTTTCTGGCAATTATTGTTCGCACGATATCTCAAATTTGCCGAGAGCTACGCACAAGGTCGCTTCATTAAACATTTTGGCTTCGCCTGGAATAGTTACGGTAAGGTTTTCAACGCGCTCAGTCGTGCGTGACGTCATCTACGCGCAATTTTGCTTTTTTACATTATCGATCATATCAGCCTAACCAATTGCCATTTCGAAATCGTATTAAGTGAGCATTAACTTCGGTTTATTGTTGAATGTAATGTACCCTAATTTTACGCTTACACGTACTTGGAAATCACTTTTTGACTAAATTAGAGCATGTTTCAGGCCATTTTGAGAAATTCAAATTTTTTGTAATTTTTCCACCGCGCACGCACAATTTTACGTGCGCAGCATGTACGGAAGGTAGAAATGAGGTTTTTTTTACATATTTTGGGTTACTGAAATTTTTTTCACAAATTTCAATCGTTTTTGGTCATCTTATGGCCAATAGCAATGTCGTACGTGCGCATCAAACATAGGGACCTTTGTGCGGATTTGTGCAGTGAAAATATGCTAAAATCAGGCCTATTTTTAATCAGTTATAACTCCTTAGGATGAAAGGTAACCCCCCATTTTTATTACATATTCTGAAAGCACATGAGTTGTAAATATGATTTTATAGATCATAATGGCTGATCGGACATTGTGACGTATTGCCATCTGAATTCAACAAAACTGATTTTATCGATAACGTCATTTTTGAAAATTTGCATTTGAGTGTATCTCGCTTATCCTTAATCGATCGTCTTCCAACTTTAAGTATGTTATAGCTGAGACAATTTTCTTTCATATATGTGACTTCTGCTTACATTTTGATTACGTCATCATGGTCAAAATAAATGTTTTTTTAGACCCCCTCATTCTTTTTTTCCTCAAAACATTGAAGACCCCATAATCATCCTAACCATTCCTCATTTCTGAATCATATTAAGTGAGCATAAACTTCAGGTCAAGGTTGAATGTCATGTACCTTAGTTTTCCGTTTGCGCTTCTTAACGTGCGCAAACAATTATATATGCTTAAAATAATGCCTATTTTTAATCAGTTATAGCTCCTTAGGATGAAAGGTAACCCCCAATTTTTATTACATATTCTGAAAGCACACGAGTTGTAGATATGATTTTATAGTTCATTATGGCTGATCGGACATTATGACATCATCATACTGCCATTTGAATTAAGAAAAAAATAAATTTTATTTAAGACATTATTTTATACTCGTTTGAACATATCTCGCTTATACTTGATTGATCTTCTCCCACCTGTGAGTATGTTGTAGCTGAGATAATTCTCTTTCAGAAGTGTCCCTTTATTTTGACGACGTCATCATGGTCAAAAAGAATGAATTTTTGGAGCCCTTTTATCTCTCTTCAATTTTGTCAAAAATATTTGACGACAGAGAGTGTGTGTGCGGCAAAATTTAGAAATTCTCAACTATTCAGGTAATTTAAAGCACGTTTCAGGACATTTTCAGCATTGCAAAATTTTCCATAATTTATCCACAGTACGCTTATTTTTACGCACTAAGCACGTACTAAAGCTGGAAAGTACGGTTTGTTTCATTTTTGGGTTCCCGACACTGTATTCATATAAGGAGTTAACTTTGTGTGCCATTGACATGCGCACAGGCGTCAAGACGTCCGCATACGCAAGCGTAAATCTTTTAGAATGTTTCAAATTACACTTTTTTAAAAATCTAGAGCATATTTTAGGCCATTTTGAAAATTTAAAAACATTTCAATCTGCACCGCTCGCGCTTCCTGAGGGTCGAAGTGCGGCGGATCAGTGACGAGCTTAAATCTAGTTTCTATTTTTGATTATAAACAAAGACTACAGGTAGAACAAGAGCTTAGTCTGGTCTGCACTGGCATGATGATAAAAAAAAAAATATACCGCCCTCTATAAAAGTACTGCATCATGTGGAAAAAAGATAAACAAACTGGGCACAGTGCAGTACTGGCTAATAAAAGCATACAAATGACAAAAGGCATCCTGCAATAGCTGTGTAAAGGGCGCATTGTTCGTTTATTTGTTTTCTGTTCTTTCTATGGGATTCTTCCGCAGGTAAGTTACTTTTTAACTTTTAATAGGCGCATTATCATTTTTGCATTATTATTATTATGCTCTCAATGAGCATTCTATGCTCTATTGCTGTTCTTATATTCTCTGTTGTAAGGCAGTAGTTGCTTAAATGTATAATTTTCAAGTATTTTTAGCTCTACAAGTAGAAAATGCATCAATAACACTAACAGACTTCTCAAGTACTACGGAAATTCTTTTAATTTGGCCTAGATGCTACAGAAATTTAGCCTAATTACAAACATATAGAAATGGACAAAAATACTATGGAAATTTATCATAGGCATGGAGCCATAAATAAATAGGTCTGAAGTCCAGAACAAATTACTTTTCCATCAGGATATTTGGTTACATTTTCCCTAGACAAATACTTGTCGAATCACTGATAAATCATCGTGAAAACTAAGAAAAAAAATAGCCCGTAAGTCTTCATCCTGTCCCGTTCGTCGAATTACAGACGATTGATCAGACACAGGAAAAAAGGGCCCATTTTCAGGTCGATCGAACCCAATTTGAAAGTGGACCTGATTGTCCTAAAAAGTGACGCATAAATCTTCATCCTGTCCAGTTTGTTTTAAATTCTACAGCTGTGCTATAATTTTGAGCAACCAATACGGTATCTTGCCCTCAAGGCAAATTATTAGGTGCTACGGAAATATTCATTTACTATGGAAATCTGAAGCAAAGTTACAGAAATGCATTTTTCCAAACATGAGAAGTACGTCTGCATTAACCAAAGTACAGTATCATTCACTCACTTCTCTTTGCTCTGCGATGATGCTTAGGTCTTCAACAGTTTCCACCTTTGCTTCATCATTTTCCCTTTCCTCCTCCAGTTCTACTTGTTCACTAGAATCCTCCATTGTTTCATTTTGCACACTTTCTTTTCTTGATGGACTGGTGATAATGTGATTTATGTTTGTGACTTCATTTTTGATATCTTCTGTGAGTACTGAAATTAAAAACAAAACTTGCACACTTGTTGACGAAAAGTTAGTTACAGAAATATATTATTGATTAAATAAGAGATTGTTTTGTGTAAACCTATTTTTTCTCCATGGAACCCTTCACAAAAAAAAAACAACTTGTTTTTTTCAGTCAGGGGGCTAAATAAATAACCGCTATTTATTTTATTTATTAATTTGAACTTTATTACATGAGAATAGCCCGTGCAGCTCAATGGAGAGCTGATATTAAGCGATCCTTAACAAACATATAAAATACACAGTTTTAAAATATTAGAAATAATAATATCAAGACAAATAGCAAAAATCAGAAGGCAAAACCAGAGCAATAGCAAAAACAAAAAAACACCAAAAAATAGTAAAAAATCAATATCATTGGCAAAAGAAACCACAATAAAAATGTTAATGTATTAAACAGAGATTATCCATAAGGCTACCTTCCTGGGCTTCATACCTAGACCATTACAACTGTACATGATTTGGAAACTCCCCCCCCCCCCCAACTAGGGAGAAGAAGTGGTATGACTTTTAAAGTGCACAATGACTAGGTGAAAAAAAATGCATCACCAGTGCTTTCATCGTTCATCGCAGTTGTTTTGTCACTGTTGCAGCATCTGTCATCCATTCAACCATTACTAATGATCATTAGGCCAAACAAAAATATGTTGTGTTATTGCCCTCTGCGACTGACCAAAATTTTTCAAAAAATTGGGTCAGCTTTTTTTTTTTTTTAATTTTCTTCAAAGAAATCGGGCCATAGATGCATGCGCAAAATTGGTAAAATAGAAGGCATAATTTTGAGAACCAACTGCGATGACGACGATTTATGCACAAAACATTGGATCTCTGGCGCTGAGTTGTCAAGCCACGATTAGACCTAGAGAGGCCTAGGCATTACCTATTCTTTACTACTGTACAACTAATGGTTGCTTGAATCAACTATCAAATTCATTACCTTACGGTTTACTGGGGAATAGATAAAAACAGGCTTAGGTCTAGCCATCGCTTTAAAGCCGGTACATAGCTAGACATTCTAGGCTCTGTTACGGTTTTAGGCCAACCATGAACGAAATATTTAATTTTTTTTTTTCTTAAAGTTAACTTCGACTGTAATATTACATAGAAGGCGCTTGTTTGGCCATTTTTCATAGCCATGGTGTTGCTCGACCTGTCCAATCGTAATTATGTGGATTGAACGCACAAATTATTTTACGTTTCAAAGTTTTTGTTAAATTTATTTCAATATACACTTGGTTAGTATTTATTCCGTCATTAATTTGAAATTTTTTGTTTGGCAAGCTTGCCATCTTTCTATTGTGTTGCCTACGAGGCCTGGGATCTTTATAATACTGGGACAGCAGATTGAGGCCTATCCTATTCCAGGTATTACTTCAAAAAAAAAAAAAAAAAAAAAAAAAAAAAAAAAAAAAAAAAAAAAAAATCAAAAATCCGATCGACCGAAAAACTATCTCAAATTTTTTCATTTAAAATGGATATGAAATGGATTTTCGATTTTTTCCATTAGAAAATAACATTTTTATAATTATTAGGTTGTATTAGAAGGGTTTTGTATACAAAATATGGAAATACCCGAGGGCTAGGAGACGTTAGTGAAAATCTATAAAATTCGCGAGTGACGTCATTCGCGAATACATTACCACTCTCTCTACTCACTCTGGTATAGTTTTCTGGCGATAACTTTTTTAAAATATAAAGTGTAACATTTAAATTTCGTATACTTTAATAATAATGTATAGTGATGATTTTTATATAAAAATGTAAGCTTACAAGCCATCATAAATCGAGTAAGAAACGATTTTAAATTAAAAAATCAACAAAATTTCGCACAAATAATGACTCAAGCATGGCAACCTTTGCAAATCTAGAGAGCCGGTCGTCAGCGATGCGTATCAAGTACAAGACGTTCAAGAAGTTTTATCGCGACAAATTTTTGCTTCGTAATCCCATATTTGATAAATATTATATGATGTCTGACCTATCAGAAAATACTGACATTGATTTCGACGATGTAAATGAATTTGAAAACATTTTTGCAAGGAATCAAGCAGTGAGATTATTTGAAAACGAACCTAGGCTAGCGGTGGTAGATGGAGTGGAGGCACGCGAAGAAGTACTCCTCCCAGCTGGCGTGGCTGAAATGCAACGTAAAGCTGACCGTTTAGTTGCATTTGGCCTACCACGTAATCTTCATTTACGACAAGGAATAGAATGGTTGGTGTGAAATACTGATTTTAAAAATCGTCATGGTTATCGTGTAATCGTGTCTAGGCACAAACCTACTTGGCAAATTGATGGCATTTTAAACAACTATCAAAACTTCGCGCGTTTCCGGCGGTCCAGGTGAGTTACCGAACTTCATTGAGAGCCGGCGACCGTGTATGTAGGGAATCGTAATGGCCGAAGCTGTTTACTTCCGTATTGTCGATATATTTTATAAAGTCGCATTTTTCATAAAATATTGTATTATCATGTTTTATTATTGCATTTGTGTATTTGATTTATACATTCATACAAACTTGGTAAGTGTTTATGAAATCTGAAGTCCATTTCATATCCATTTTAAGGGCAACACAAACATTTTTTTTTTGGCCTTATCACTATAATTATCTTTACATTTTGGAAATTTGTAGGTTCCAAGCTTTATTACTACTGTCCAATATCGCCAAAACTCTATAGCACTACACACTCATTTAGGCCTACCTTTTGTTTTATAAACGTCTGCATCACCCTTCAGAACCACATGAACTGTGGGAAACTCAATGACCAACTTCCCTTTTAAGTTTTCTTCAATAGGCTTATCAAGATCAAGTTTGTAATACCTATTAAAATAAACACAATGGAATTAATTAATCAATTAATGCTGATTGGATACAAAATGTATTTTGTGAGATCACTCATCTTGACGTTTAATGTGTACACAGAAAATAAATACAATTACCAGCTTTAAAATTCAAAATTGAAATTTTGGCTGGGCTAAAGTGCAGAGGCAACTGACAGGTAACTCATTCAAATCTTTTTAACCGTAACTGTTACAAATCCTTTTAACTATTTTTCATTATATTCTCGAGTGCTGCAGCATACCCTCAAGGAAATAATGTAATCTTCTGTTGTATTCAGGCACATTATTTTCTTGAGTGCCGCAAAATACCCTCACGAAAATAATGTAATCGCCCGTCGTATTAAGACACAATACTTGAATACTAGGGGTGATTTCATTATTTTTTTTTATGTCCGAGAGTTAACAATTGAATTTCTGTGACCTTGACCTTGTCTTTCGAAAATTGAATGGTCTCTATCTTTGACTATCATGTACCATTACACAAAATTTTATGATGATCCATTCATTTTTTTTTTGCGTATTCTTGCTAACAGACAGACAGACAGACAGTGCTGAATACATGACCTCCCTTGGCTGACGTAATAAGGCAATATACAGCATTACGCCTAACTAAAGCATGGTTAAATTTTCAGAACGCGGGAGGGTTATAATAGAGTTTGCTTAAATAACACATTTGCGTTGCAATGCTTAAGGCCTGTTTACACTTGCAACGATAACGATAACAATAAAAAGCTAAAAGTAAATTATAGAAAGATAAAAGTAATAAGAAAAGTTTTCTCACTAGGACGATTCGATAACAACTTATCTTGTATACAATAATAATAAAAATAATTAAAAATAATAATATAATATAAAATATTTTATCATATATATGATAAATCATTACTGAATTGTCGTAGTGTTGAAACGTTTCTTATTTATATTATTTTCTGTATGAACAATTGCTTTTTAACTTTTTATCGTTATCGTTGCAAGTATAAACAGGCTTTTAAAACTGCCAGGTTTCTGAAAAATGCTTACTTTTTACTTTGTTGACTGCTTCTGTCATACTCCATATAGGCTTCCACATTGCCCATGTCGTCACATATGTATTCTTTTAACCTATTAAAATACGAGTGTGAATTATCATCATAGGCAGTTTTTGAAAGCACAGCATATGCTGTTTTAGGTTCTGAAACAGGTCAAATTTTTCAACATAATTATTGGCCAATGATGGCATTTGTTAAAAAGAAACTGAATTGACAGATGTTGAATTAAAAAAAAATAGATTAACTATTGATTTAAAATAAAAGTAAAAGAGAGATTTAAATGGTGGTACAGAGTTTAAGTAACTAATGTATTAAACATAATGTTTTGTTTCCCTAGTCCCCGAAAATGACTATAGTAAAGGTAAAGGTAGGAGAATAATCCATAATTTGCAACGCCATTGTGCTGAATTGCGTATGGCGTGGTCCATGACTACCTCAGCCGTTGTAAAGGGGCACTTACGGTTATGTTCCACGACAGAAGATGAAATGCCTTCTCTAAAGTGCACACGAGCCAGATGTGTACACTGGACCTGCCATTTAAAATCCGTATCCGAGAACACTTGGTTTTACCAACTGAACCCTGGCCGAGTAGAGGCTGGAACCAGCGCCGATGTTAAGGCTGTAGTTAGCGTGCCCCTGCCTTAACGCTCGGCCAGTCCTCCAGCAGTCTATGGTGGAATGCCTTGGCAATTATAGTCGCCTCCAGGGAGCTAAGGGTTACAGTACATCTCTACAGCATAAACTATTTTAAAAGCATATTTGTCCATTAAATATTTCCATTTTTTGAAACTCCAAAGGGTAGCATCACCAATCTTAGCTCAATGATGCTCTTACCTCTGACGATGAATTGGGTTACTTTCTGTTGTATGTAGGTACTTTTTTAAGACACCGGAGAATGTGAGTTTGTCTGAAATTCTGAAATAAAAATACAAAGAGGTCAAATCACATCATAGTGCAACCTCCTCCACTTACTGTGCATATTCCTAGTTGTGTTTGCAATTTTATGCCGATACAGACTAATACATTCACGCCCGTATTCTTAAAACAAACTTTAGTCGAACTTCGATCTAGAACTTAATTTAGTGCTAGTTGCATCTTTAACTTCAATTTGTATTCACAAACAATGTAGTCGAAATTTTAACTACGACTAAATCAAGTCCTAGGTTTAGTTCAACTAAAGACGACTGGCAAGCCACGACTATCAAACTAACCAAAGAACCAGAGCCTTGCAGGCGTCAACGTTCCTATGCATGATACACGACTTTTAGAAGTATATATACGTGTATATATATATATATATACATATATGTATATATATACGTATATATATATACACATATACATATATATATTCATATATATACATATATATATATATTTATACATATATATATATTTATATATATATATACATACATATATATTGATATATATATATACATATACGTATATATATACATATGTATGTATATATATATGTTTATGTGTGT